TACAACTACCATGAAACATAAAGTCCATTTTTTTAAAAAGGTATATTGACATTTTAGTTGGTTTTCAGTGTCAGGTCTGAAGTTCTCTAATTAGGGAGAGGATCAATATATACACAACTTTGTAAAGAAATTATTGTAGTTAAACTAAATATGTAGTCCTTTTATCCTTCGTTTTATTTTATGGTTGTTTGATTTTTGGCCATGCTACATGGCATGTGAGACCCTAATTCCCCAACCAGAGACGGAACCCATGCCCTCTGCAGGGGAAGCATGGAGTCTTAACCACTGGACACCAGTGAAGTCCCTAGTCTTCATTTTAAAGATAAGGAAGAAAGGGAAAGTGATCTGAATTCAGCCGAAACATATCTAAAGCTGGTTCAGAGCTTCTCTATATACAAACTCTTACATTTGCAGAGTAAGACTCACTAGGGAGGGGTAAAATGCATACTTGTTAAATGTACTTAGTGGTTTAAAAAGGGAATGGAGTTTGACAACTAGAAAAGATACTTGGAAAACATTTGGTCAAACCCCACATCTTATAAATAAAGACACTGAGGCTCAGAGAAGTTATGTGATTTGCCCTGGATCACAAGGCTATTTGACAGAAGGACTAGAATTTTGGCATTCAAAAGTTTAATGGTCATTTTTCCATTATACCACTATCATTCAAGAAAACAGAATTGGGATAAATTTCTTAAAACTCAGAGATGACTATGTTTTTCTTCTTTTATTTATTTACTTTTTAAGAGGACATGAATCTAATCAGGATATTTATTTAGCTGATAAGCACACACTAAAGCACTGCCATTTACCCACTTATTTTGCCAGCCTGATTTTCCCCAGAGGTGACCTAAGAAGAAAATCATGTCTTAAGAATTCTCACAATCCAAGAAAATGTTTCACCCTGAAAGTGAATATGAAACCTACATGTTTATTACTAAAGCAAAGGCTATGTATGCTCCCCACCTTACCATTGTTAGTGAGAATTTTGAAACTTGCCCGATCTCTTACAGGGGTAAAAATCCACTCTTGGTGGGAGCAGCTGTGACTCTGTGAAAGAAGCTACAAATAACATGCTGGGAAATTCAGCAGGCACTGTTATTATATCCTGTTTATACTGTCATTTTTCCTATCAGTAGGATATTATTTATACAGACCCCACCCATGAACTTCTTGTTTATCTTATTATAGAAATCCTCCAAATCTATAAAAAGAAGCCTCTGTATTTTGTTTCTGGAACAAGCACACGTGTGGTAATTTTGCACCTCACTACACATTTTTATTTAGCATTTCCTTTTGTTATGCACCACTCGTTCTCATTTTTACCCAAGGCTGATTTATTTCATTATGTCACATACTGGAGTTAAACTTAACTGACTTTAACAGACTCCAATCTAGGACAGATTTCAGGGCACCGTATCTTTTACGTTGGGGGAGATTTCATCAGGAAGCTATTCTTCTAAGATACATTTGACTAATTTGTTAAACAGGCAGAAAAATGTGCCAATATACTAATCAGGTGCCCCAGTGAGTGAGCCCCAAGTGCCTAGAAGCCTTCCTAACTTTGGCTTCTTTATCTTAGCTGTGTCAGTTATGAGGGCTAAGCTTTACACTAGTTCTCACTAACTCACTATCCTCTAGCTGGATCTCTCTTCTGGAACGAAAAGTATTGCTCCTGAGTTTAGTTGGATGGTTAGACAGGCTGGGTGGGAATGTGACATAGATATACATGAGAAATACATGAATTCAGTAAGCAGACCAAAGGGACAATGAACCAATCTGGTTATAAATCATCCTCAATCCCCTGCCTAACATAAACAATTGAATTAAAGTAGATAAAAGAAAAATGCAAATCCCTTAAGGGAAGAAATTCATACTGTGTTTGTTGAGCAAATAAGTATTTCCAGAGGGGAGACATCACTGGAGAAAGTCACACTGGATAAATTTTCACATGTATACCTTGTGTTAGCTTCACTAGTACTCCTTCTCTAGGGAAACGTGAGATCTTCAGAGTATGTGCAATGCTAGACTCTTTGAGAATGTATAAAGATCTTTGCTTTTAAAGACTACTACTCTAAAATGCAGAACTGAAATGAAATTTAACCTCTCAGGGTGGTAAACTAAGTGTTAATTTCAGGCAGAAAAGAGAGGTCTACATGGGCTACAGTGATCAAAGAAGTCAGAATGAGGATAGTAACAGAAGTAATGTTGATAATAGGTTCCCTGGTGGTTCAGTGGTAAAGAATCCACCTGCCAATGCAAGAGACTCCAGTTCAATCCCTGGGTCGGGAAGATCCTCTGGAGAAGGAAATGGCAACCCACTCCATTATTCTTGCCTGGGAAATCCCACAGACAGAGGAGCCTGGCGGGAGATAGCCTACGGGGTCACAAAGAGTCAGACATCACTCAGCAACAACAACATTGATTAACAGGAATTGTTAAGACCAGGGTGAGCAGATGAAGGCAAGCTAGGCACAGTCAATGATCAGTGAGCATCCAGGTGAAGATACAGAAATGGCAAGTAGCTAAATCCAGCTAGCAAGGATACTGAAAACAAGATGGCTATAAACAGCAGGCTGGAGTAGATTATAAAGAACTTCATTTTCCATACAATGGAGAACCAAAGATACATGAATGAACCCAAGTTTTGACTAGGAATGAAGAGGAGGAAGAACAATTTGGGATGAGGCAGAAATGAGGGGAAGAAGTTTTTAATAGTACCAAATCCTATGATTACAGTGGCAAAAGTCCATGTGTTCTAACAGATAACACATGGAAAAATTTCAACTCTTGCTTTCAAAAACAAGAGATGGCATCATGACAACTGCCACTGACTGAGACAATCAATGCTAGACAATGTGAATCCATGGCAGTTAATATCAGGAAAGCTCACTAGTTTCCTAGAATACTACTTCTTATTGCAAATCACCTGGTGATCTGGTTAAAATGTAACTTCTGATTCAGTAGGTTTGCTGCTGCTACTGCTAAGTCATGTCAGTCGTGTCCGACTCTGTGTGACCCCATAGATGGCAGCCCTCTAAGCTCCGCCGTACCTGGGATTCTTCAGGCAAGAACACTGGAGTGGGTTGCCATTTCCTTCTCCAATGCGTGAAAGTGAAAAGTGAAATTGAAGTTGCTCAGTCGTGTCCGACTCTTTGCGGGTCAGACATGCAGACCACATGGACTGCAGCCCACCAGGCTCCTCCGTCCATAGAATTTTCCAGGCAAGAGTACTGGAGTGGGTTGTCATTGCCTTCTCCATTAGTAGGCTTAGGGTGGTACATTTCTAAGAATTCCCCAATACTGCTATCCCATGGACTATATTTTGAATAGCAAGATGCTAAAACATCTTTAATTTCCCTTTCGAAAAAGGCAGTATTTGATGTATGGTATAGCTAATGCCTCAGATATGTCTAAGAAATTCCTTTTAGAGGTACTGTATTATAATTTTCATCAACATCTGATGGGTTTCAAAAGACACTATTTTAAAGGTCCAAGATGATTCAAGATTCAGGGTATTCAAGAAATTCAGAAATATTTCCACTTGGGCAAAATCAACTTTATCATGCTGCTTATAACACTATAGTTTTGTCTTTTTTCTCTTTTTTAGGCTGGCAAACCAGAAGATACTATTGCATCTAATCTTGGGGGCTGAATTAAAAGTCCTGAGAGACAACTGATCTTTCCACAGTGCACATCAGTGGGTTTTGGTAAAACCCACCTAACCTGCCCTTACAATGCCCTTAGCACCATACCTTAATCCCTGAAGATAAAAGTAACATTTTAAGCATCCTATTGAAAAACTGAAGATTACAAAAATTAGATTCATAAATAGTTCTAGAGGAAGGGACATGCCTTTAACTTTTTTTTTAAACCATGAACAGAAGTATCATTTATAAAAATACTTTACTAGTGTAATATGTTACACACATATTAAGACTAGGTGACCTTAGATTCTTGGGGTGAAATTTAAGACTTCCAAAATCTCGTTTCATTTTTAACCAAATGGTCAGTAACAATGTTTGAGGAAAATGTATCAAAGTCTAGAGAACAGAAATAACATCTTAAAATTGGAAGGTGTTGTTGAAGACCAGATTCAACTATTTCAATGTATTAACAGAAGAAACTGAGGTGCAAAGGCTAAAAAGGCCAAAGTCGCATAGTTGCTACTGGAATGTTAAAAAAAAAAAAGAAGGGGAGGAACAAATTATTTTTTTTATCTGTTAATATACAACACACAACAATATATCAACTACAACATGTATGTAGTTGAAAGAGTTTCTGGTTCCTCTCATGACTAAGACATAGCTGATTTTACTAAGCTCTTAGAAATTACTGATATCCGAAAAAAGAAGACTACAGACCAACAAAGAAAAGACATGCTACCCCCAAATTTAAGAACTTCATAAAAAATGCAATCTGAATAGAAAATGACACATATACACCACATACTCAGGATGGGGCTGCTGTTGGTTGAGTAATGGGATGGGATATAAAAAAAAATAGGGAGAAAACACTGGTAATTCTTATCTTCTCAGTAATGGTTTGAGAATATACATTTTCTTTCACATATGGAAAAGTGGTTAAAAAACACAACTTCCTTCACTCCCATGAATCTTTTTTTTAATTGGTAAAATCAAGTAGATTTGGAGGACTGTAAAGCTTTTAAAAATATGAAATGTAGAAAGCAGTTGGATGTGCATGTGTCATAAGCTCTGTCACAATTACAAGAAAACCAGAGAATCCTTTTTACTCATAAAATAGGGAATTTTGTGCTTATTACAAATGCTATAAAATTTACTAGCACAAGATAAAAAAAAAAATCACTGGAGAAGTTCCAAGATATCGGAGACAATGGGTTTTAAATCACAGGCATACATTATTATGCCTAAGTTGACAGATCTGCACTGCAATGCAGAAATGCAAGCAATATTCCAACATCTGCACTAGAAGGCAGAGACTAGACAAGATTCCAGAATAAAGGGCTCTTCAGCTCTTACCTGTTACCTGTGCAACAACTGCTTGGGAAATCCTCCGATTGGCAAGAAAGGCTTTGATTTCCTCTTTTATCACACTGCTGTCCCTCCTAACAAAAACAGAAGACAAGACCAACAATGTATGTTGAAGGTAGAAATCCTCATCTTTGCTAAGAAAGGTGAAGCAGAGAGGTGGGGAGAACATAGAAAGAAAGGACACAAAAATAAAGGTAAAACAGACCAAGCTTGTGGGAAAATATGAAATTAAAACAAACCAAGAAACACCAAATATTCAAGTCCTAAAACAGCACACCATCAGACAGACGCTTTAGTGAATGCCACAGTAGATGTAAGTCTCATACCAGAGATGGTTAATCGCATGCTGTGTATAATTCACATTAGGAACAAGCTGCCATATGGTATATGCAAATTTTCATTACTGGGGAATGAATGTATCTTATACAGACAGAAATCCTAGAAAAATAAAAAGCAGCAACAACAACAACAAAAATCAGTTGTGAGTAGATTGTGGTTTTGCATGTTAACTATGCAACTGCATAAATCATGTTTAGTTCATTTGAAAACCTTTGTCAAAGGAATAGAAATCATCATTCTCACGACCGCTAAAATGCTGGCCATTTTAAGGCGCTTTTTTGCCTTTTAATTTGCCTTCTTTGTCCTTAACAAACCAAAAATATTTTAGGCAGGGTAGGCTGAATATAAAATTCTAGTATAAAAGACACATTAATGTCCTAATACATGTAATACACAAGATACTTAATACTTAAAACTATACTATATTCTATGTCCTTGACATTACATATCATAGACCTAATTTTTCCTCCACTAAGACTCTTATAAATTTTTACTTATTTAAAAGTTCAAGAAATTCTCAAAAAGACTAGACATTCACTAGAATGACAATGAATGGGAAGACGGTTTCTCTACCAGGACAAAGATAATACTTCAGTGAAAATTATACCTAAAGCCTTAAAACTAATCAATTTCTCTTCAAATGTTCAAAAGAATCACACAAATGGATTTTTTTGTTCAAGCTCAAAAGTAACTAAATAGTGGTAACTTATGGTCTAATGCAGGTGATCAGCAAACTATGGCCCATAGAATAAATTTGGCCTCCCATCTGTTTTCATATAACCTGTGAGCTAAGAGTAGTTTCCACAGATGAACATTTGCAATCGATTTGATGACAGGGAATACTAACTTTGAACATGAATCAGGCAAAATATTATCCCCTCCTCACCAAAAAATTCTATTATTCTCTATAGGCCTGTATCTTAAAGATGGTATTTGATGATCAATTATTATTCTATATTGAATTTTGCAAATAAAAATTTGTGATCATTTGTTTTCTCTCTTGTAAGTATCTATATCATGTCCTCGATTTGGCCTCTTGACCACAAAGTATAAAATGTTTTCCATCTCTTTACAGAAAAACTCTGTGGACTCCTGATCTCAGACAAAGGGACCGTGAAATCTTTATAAATTGCTTTGTGAATCACAGACTCCTGACTGGAGCTCAAGTCTCTCTACAGATTATCTGGAATGAAAAAAGTGAAGTATCCTATTCCCAAAGAATCAGCAGTGATTTACTCAAGCAGATTGGCAGTCCTTTGCTGAGGAGGAGCTAAGTGTTCTGTTGGTGAATTTCATGTTCCCTTTCAGGAATTCTGGAAAAGAGCAGAGAAGTGATGGTAGGGACAGCTTCCAATCTGGAGCTCCACAGTCTACTCTTCATCCACTGGTTGGAAATCCTAATCAAAAAGATTCCCAGAGGAAGAAAATAAAGAATCAGCAGCCTAATCCAGTACTTAAAGCTTCTCGTACTAATCTAGATATTGGCCAAATTCCTTCCAAAATGCTTATTTATACTGGAAACATTTCTTTGAAAAATATGCATTCGTATTTTGAAATTATGTATCTGAAAGAAAAGGACACAATACATTTAAAGGTCAAAATGTACATTACCCATCTACATTACCATCTGGCTCTTAAATATCCAACCACAGTCAGTAGAGCAAGAGATAAACTTCATCAGTAGCTATTTCAACCGGTTTATGTAAATAGAACAACCAAATTGTTTGGTTTCTCATACAGATGCAAAATTAAGCTTAAAAATTTTAAGTAAAGTGTTGCATTCCAATGTACAGAATGTCCTTCTAGGGAAATGAAAACTGAATTTAAGAGGGTTTCTAGTAAGGTTAAATAAAAATATGCTTTTGTGGGGAAAATGATGAAATGTTATTTTCTTGACTACTGATTTAAATTGGAATCTAAATCAATTTATTAAAATCAATTTCTCCTCAAGTAGAGACTAAGTTATAAGGAGGAGATAACACTCAATTATTTCAACAGGGCACATCCAGTTTGTGAATTATTCACAGCCCTGCAGTATGATATTACCAATCACTGCAGCAAGACAGAAGGAACCCCAAAAGTCTGCAAAGGAGCAGAAGTTCACTTAACCCTCTCAGAGATTCTATTTTTAGATATGTGGGAAGTTTCTAAATATCCATAATGAGTTTAAAAAACTAAAAACAAAAACCTCTTTACTCAACTGCTTTACCAGAAAGAAGCTTTTTCAAACTGAAGAAAAACAAAACTTAGAAGATAAAGGGTGTGCTTGGGCAAGTCATGTAATAAAGTTAGTTTCATCATCTGGTAAAATAAGAAGAGTAACATGTCCCCTACCCCATCACAAGGCTTTAAAGATTTTTCTCCAAGCACTGAAATTAAAATTAAATGAAAATTATTATCAAATGTGTGTACATAATATATAAAATTTTAAAATTCTTCAGTGTAAGACTTTTTGAAACTGTAAAAGCATTATATAAACAATGACTATCATTTTATAATATGCCAGAGAGAACTCAAGGAAAAAAAGAAACAAATGATCTAGTATAAGTACATAAGATTGAAGTTAACATCTGTATTGGATATTTTAAGGCACCATGAAAAGATTTCTATAAAGTCATTTTAGATGCAAGTGTTTTGTCATTTAGTTGGTTTCACTAGGTATTTCCAAAATAGTAACAGCATTTAACTTTCACTGTGTTCAGTTCTCTTATGTTATTTCAAAAACTTCCACCCTACTGGGTTAAATTGGTTCTCTAAGCTTTCACATATTCTCCCTCATTCTTTCCACCTTCTTGAACAAACGACCTGCCACTCCTAATGTCCACATCATATCCTACGAAATTACTGATTTCTTGGTGTGAAAATTCCTTCATTTACTCCAAATTTGTCTCATCTCTTATGCCTTATTTCCTCTGTCTAAAATTTGACATCTTTAAAAACAATGTATCCACTTTTCCACCCTTACAAACTCTCACTCTCCTCATGATTTCTACTCCTCCAGTCTTATGGAGTTCAGGTGAAGTGTAGGCTGATCTTTTCTTGATTCCATAGCTTACTTCTAAGATAAGCTACCACTCTACTTCGATCTAATCACTTAGATACACTCAGTAATGCCTCTTCATGAAGGCACCCTTTTTAAAAGACATCTTAAAATAATAATCACCATCTAATCAGAGTTCTTGCTGATCCTCAGAGCTAAAAAAGATAGTTTCCTCTAATAGCTAACTTTAACCATTTCAAATATACATACCAATATATTACATGTGATTCTGTATTACAGTAGTTCCTGATCTGGTCTTATCTCTACTAGCAAAGTCCCTGAGCACAAAGATTGTGTCTTATTCATTATGGAGTTTGCATATATTAGAGCTTAATTTGCTCCATAAATGAACAAACCTGTAGTTAAAGATAAAAGGTTGTAAAATGGAAAACCTGATGTAAATAATTTATTAAAAAGAGCTCTAAATTCCTAATGTTAAATATGTTTAAGCTTCCCAAAACAGAATGGAAGAGAGTTATGTATACTAGCTCAAAATGGTAATGCCTTCTTTTCTGGAACACAGGTATTAAAGACTGAATGTTTAAAAGTTGCATGTTTTAGGATCTTCCACATTCTCTTAGTTGACATACACTACACATTCTTTAAGACCTCTTAAAAGTAGTCATCTATCTCAAGACTTTCAGAGGTGGAGCAATACCTACCAATACAGAGTATTTCACTGGTGGAGAAACATAACTACACACCATTCTTTCACACATGAATAGGAAGCTGCTCCCTTTAACTTCTACTCATGGAGATAAAGCATAATTTAGAAGCTTACAAGATAATATTAAAACAAAATCTACTCTGTATGTATAAACAACATGGTAACTGAATACTATGTCCTATAGAACATAAATCCCTACCTACACAAGTAAATAATCTATTAGGCATATAGATAACCAACTCGGAATAATGTCTCAGAATCCTAGATAAAATACTAAACACTCATGAAATTTAGTATGTGGGTAGTCAGAAATAACATCTTTTATATGACAAATTAATTCTGATAAGCCTGATTTCAATTGTTATTTTATACATACACAGTAGGATAATACACTTTAGTAGATATACACCATTAGCAGATATACATATACACCTATATATAAACATATATACTAATAGATGCATTTTAAAAATATTAACATGTAAAATCAGTCTTTATCCTAGCTCTTGGTTTTAAAGTCCTTCCTAAAATGTTATACTAAACAATTTATTGAGAATCCACATTCTAGTTTCCCTTTGATTTTTTCAAAACCCTGATCAATCCAAAAATGGACAAAGTAGAAGCTACTTTCTTTCAAATTAATCAAATTTAAAAAAATCTTCTTTTGTATACTTTAAAATTTTTAGGAGTTCAGTTTGTGGACCCAATGGATTATGAGATTTGAAAGCTAAATCTTACAGTTGAGTGCTCTGGAGGCTGGCTAACGTGAGCATGAGAGTGAATTACATGTGACCTATGTAGGAAAGGAAGCAGGAAGGCATTTAGGTATCTATTCTCCCTACCTAGAGTACAGCCCTCTGCATCATCAGAGTGTGGAGTGGGCAAAGGGGAGTGGAGGCCTATGTGGGGACAGCGTACTCAGAAAGATTCACTGCTCAAAACTCATTCTCTGACATTCGACCAAATAAAAATTCATTCAGCTACCCAAGGGACTGACTTGAAGTGACAAATATCACTTGGGGGGAGAGTGGAGGATAAGTACACTAAGGCTTTCACACTTTGTCTTGAGTTATATTAATGATCATTCCTAAAATTTTACTTAAATCTACACACAAGAAAAATGTATTTACAGAGGTAACAGATACCAGTGACAGACACACTGGTAATAAAGACATGGGTTAGAATTGAGCTCTGCCACTTAAGTTTTCTTGGGTCAAGTTATTTTTGTGTATCTTAATATCTCTGTTCTACCTCACATATAGCATGGTTGTGATAATTAAAAGTGAAACAGTCATGCAAAAAAACTTCTCCCTCAAACCTGAGGGCTGTGATTATTTGTAAACTTGAGATAAATGGGAGATGGGCACAAAGGAAGAGTGAAGGTGTGGGTGAGGGTGCAACGGCAGAGGACCACAGAGCGCCGGAAGGATCAATGAGACCGCTAGATGATCAGAGGCCAGCATAGGAGCAGTTCTAAGAAAGAAGTCATAAAACAGCCCACCTATGCAACAAGGGGTGGTATGTAAACTAAGTGTTGGTAACAATTACAAACACACACACATGTATCTAATGATGAAACTTGAATGTGTGTACTTGCTGGATTTAACCACAAACCCTGTTGTCAAGCTTTTAGACCATTATACTCAAGTTTCAGACTCTGGACAACCTTCCAGAGACTTGTTAAAAATAAACTTCCCAAACTTCCCATTAGTCTAAAACACATCTGGGAATTAACTAATGCTTTTAAAGTTCACTAAAACTGATTAATTACAGCAACAACAACAACAAAAAGGCTAGCATCCTAACAAATTTTATTGTTGATACCCACTCTGCTTAGGATAATTAAAAACTAACCTTGTTACATGTTAACTATTAAAGTAACTTCCATTTGCCCAAACGATCCTCTCTCTCAATCTTGACAGTGATGTAGATGTTAAATTCAAACTGAACATATAAACTTCGGCCAGCTGTTTAAGCAAGGAAAATGAATGAAAAGCCACACTGATGTTTTATACTTTTAAGTTTTACAAAGCTTAAATAACAGGTCCTGTAGGTTCTCTATGAAACCATTCATTATAGTAATTACATTGGAATCTAGATACAACAGTCTATTTAGCCCAGAATTCCCTATATGGCAGTTCCACCCTAAATGTAAATTCAGGACAGTTTGTTCAAAAGATTATTTTACCTTTGTGGTACTACAGACCTTTCAGATGGCAATATTAAGTCACCATTATACTATCTTAAACTCCTACAGTCTTATAGAAGAACTACAACTCATAATTATAGGTTAAAATTTTACTTCTGACATATTCCTGCTACAGTTTCTTTCATATAAACCACAACGAATCTATCTGCAGGCTCTCCTCCCTACAACAGCAGTGCTAATCTACTGAAAATGCTTTTATCTCTTTCCTACAGACCTCTAAAAAAAATCCTTTAAAAAAAAAAAAAAATCCTTTAATTTCTACCATGTTAAACATAAAATCACGTACATGGAATTCAAATCTCCCCCAAACCTGTACCGCCCCCCCAATATACTATTCTTATCACCATATATAGCCAATCTGCAGTTCTTAGAAGACTAAACATGTCTTGCCTTTTCTACCTTAACTTTAAACAAACTTCCTATATTTCAAAACAGAAGCTATCCTTTAATGTTTAGCTCAAATTCATTTATTCACTTGACATAATAAGCCCTTAACATGTGCCAAGGACAGTTCTAGATCCTGGAGACACAAGAACGGGAAGCACAGCAGTGCTGCCCTCAAAGTGTCTCAGCTTCAGGGTGAAGCCCTTTAATTACCTCTGTTGAAACTGGACTTCTTCAGGGTTTCAAACTCAAGGTGCTTACACTTATCTTGTAATAGATGACATTAAATTTGTGTGTGTGTGTGTGTGTGTGTGTGTGTACAGCATCTACTGCGAAAATCAGAACTTCAGTTTCTTAAGAATAGAAACCATGTCTATTTTTCTTAAGAACACTGCTTTTTAAATAATAGATGCTCAAAATTAGTTTGTCAATTGGCATGTTGGAGGGAAAAATTAAAAAGTATACATATTATTACAAAAACATCCTACCTCTCAGAGAAAGTACTTACAATGCATTTAAGGCTTACAGCGTATTTGTTAGCAACTCATAAAATTCAGATGTTAGAAATTAGAGCCATAGAGAAGGCTAACCTTTGCTTAGATAGCAGAATGGAAAAGACTTATAAAGCAGCAAAGAGAAAGAACTTAGGTAGAGAAAAAAATTTTTTGAATTAAAAACATAAAGATTTTAATTTTTTTCTTTATCACCTAAGGGGAAGTTCTCATATGTAAAGAGCTGAAATACAGCTTTATTACTCAAAATCAGTCTAAGCACATAGATATTTGGAGGACTCTAAATAAGAAAGAAACTAACCTCATTAATTCCTCCACTTTATCATCTACATCTAGGTCCTCTTCTGAGGCTTCGAAACTGTATGACCTCTGACCCATGCTGTTGGCATGGTAGCGAGTTGGTGACATCTTCCCATTGGATGTGGATAATCGCTCGTTATTCTCCCTCCCGTTCTGATTGGTAGTACAAGGCTGTGGGGAAGTGTCGTAACTATTGCTAGGTGACGGGGACATGCCCGAATGCTGGGTCTGCGTGGAAGCTGTAGCTGTAGAGGAAGATGCTGGAACATTGTTGGTACTATTCCCATACGAACTTCCTCCATAACTGGACCTTCTTCCAAACTTGTCGCTATGCTCTTGATCAAGGCGGTCCAGAGTTTCCAAGGCATGGAGAATTTCATGTTTAGTCATTCCAGTACGCCGGAGGCGCTGGAGCAGATCTATCTGCTCTATGGTAAATCTGGGTTCATCTGTATAGTGAGACATGGTTTCCAGCAAACTAAAAAAAATAAAATAAAATAGTCCCTTTATTTATAATATCTACCAAAGAATGCATCATTATGTATTGAGAATGAACACAGACAAAATATTTCTCTATCGATGTCTTTACTGAAAATGACTAAGACATGATTAAGGGTAACATTTTGTTTTATAGGCAAAACTGACCTGTAACTTCTGTAACTTTTATTTGGCATAGACATAAACAATTTGGTAAGCTTAGCCCAAGTAAATAACTTACAACTAGCAAAAATATTTAAATGGAAACATGAGAGGGGCACATAAAAAAACTTAATAAGCACCATTTCACCCACCACTTCGCAATTTCATGAGTATTTCATTTCTGTAAGGTATTCTTTCTATATAGTTATCTCAAGAAATGGATCTTGAGTGGTGTGTCCACAATGAACTATTCATTTTTCGTAGGAAATTGCTTCCATATCATGCTTCCTTTAACTAACACAAGGTACTGTAGTGCACCAGAAAATGCCTCAGAGTCAATGACAATACTAAGTTTAAGGGAATTGTCAAATACCATAAAAATTCTCACCATTCGAATTCCTTTCTTATAAAACTTGACTTTCGTACTAAAGATTCTTTTAAGTGGGAGTTTCTTCTATTTTTATGGTTCTAGTGCCAAATAGGTTGCATGGCATGCAGCAGGCTCTCAGTAAGTGTTTGCTGATGAAAATAAATGTCAAAGAACGTTCTCATCCTTTCCAGGTAAACTTCTACTCTGAGTCAGTTCTAAGCTCTTGGAGATCAGTTTCTCTATCCCTCTATAAGAGGCTTCCCTGGTGGCTCCGAGGGTAGAGAGTCTGTCTGCAATGCAGGAGACCTGGGTTCGATCCCTGGGTCAGGAAGATCCCGTGGAGAAGGGAATGGCAACCTACTCCAGTATTCTCGGCTGGAGAATTCCATGGACAGAGGAGCTTGGCGGGCTACAGTCCATGGGGTCACATAGAGTTGGACATGACTAAGTGACTAACATACACACACACACATCCCTCTATAAAAATTTATTGAATATTCACTCTAGGTCAGCACTGGGCAAGAGTTTCATGTCATACAAGCTCAGTTCCTCATAACACTGAATGGTAATTTTTTTTTTTTTTTTAGTACTGCACTGACTGTTGAGGAAACTAAAGCTCACAATGGTTTGTATCTTGGAAAAAGTCTCATTAAGACATAGGAAAAAAGATTTAAACCTAGATCTTACTGACTCCAAAAGCATGCATATATGGCAGAAATTACTGGAATCAAATGATATGGGACACAGACTTTTGCCCTTTTTTAAGTTTCCAGTTTAAACCACTTAGACAAAACCACTCCACTGAGGGACTAGGAGTTCTAGTAACAGCTTTTTTTTATATTTAAAATCTTTAGTCCATATAGAATTTGTATTTACTTAATGAGTATCAAAAGATTTGAGCTTTATTTTTCCCCAAAAGGATAGTTCACTTGTCCAATATGCTTTATTAAGTAGTACATCTCTTCCTCTCTGGTCTTTTATCATATATAAAAACTCCACACAAATCTGTATCTACCTTTGGAGTGACTGTTTTGTCTTCCAAGTTCTTTTTAAAAAAAGCAGGCAGAAATCTATAATTTTTATGTGAAGTCATTCTAGTTTTAGAGATCAGCTCATTAAAAATAAAAACAGATATTCTATGGGCCTAAAATAATATGCTGCAGGTTGTTTGTCCCCATGGGCCACACTGTCTGCCTTCTGCCTATTCACATTTTCTTTTGCGCTCTTCCAATATTCATTTGTGACAAGCTATTCATCATAAAAATCCTGTCTTCATGATTATTACATTCTTTCCTGTTTTCTTCCTCCAAGATTTTATAATGAAAAATTTTAAACCCATAGAAAAGGTGAAAAAAAAGCTGACAGTGAATGCCTATACACTAATCATCGAGATTTTACCATTAAGTATTTTACTTGCTTTATACATAATCTATCCATGCTCTAGGCATCCATCCCTCTATTCGTTTCATTTTTTGATGCATTTCAAAATCATTTACAGACATCTGTACATCTCTCCTTAAATCCTTCCACATGGAGATCATTAGCTAGAGCTCAGTATTTGTTCAGGTACTTTTTTCTATTGAAGTAAAATTTACATAAAATAAAATATGCAAATCTTACATTCACCATTCTTTGAGTTCTGAGAAGTACATCCACCTGTGAAATCAAACCCCTCGGAAGATACAGAATATTACCCTCACCCCAGGAAGCTCCCTAGTGCTCCTTCCTGGGCAGTCCCCACTCTCTCTCCTCAGAGGCCACTGCTGCTCAGATTTTTTCTCATGACAAAGGTTAATTTTTTCTGTTCCAGAACCTCATACAAATGGACTGTCTATGTACTCTTTTGTGTAAGGCCTCTTTCAGTATAAAGTTTTTGAGATTCATCTATGATATTGCATGTATCAGCAGTTTATGATTTTTTATTGCTGAAGAGTACTTTATCGTAGGAATACACCACAGGCTTGTTTGGCCATTCCATTTCAGACGCTTGGAATGCCGGTTACAAGCTATTCTAAAGCTCTGCCTATTACAAGTGTACCACTCTACTAGCTTCCTTGTCAGCTTCATATATCTGCCCTCCCCCATCCCCAACCCATAATCTATCACTGACTAGTTGGGTGAGAGAGAAAAAAACAAAACTTTCAACCAGAGTAATTCATTTATTTTTTCTTCTGACTAATGTCAACAGAAGAGTATACCTTGCTTAACACAAATGCCTACTATTAAAATAATATGCAGTATTGGTAATGTTTTATTTCATGCTAGTTACGTTATAGGTGCATAATATGTGAATATTTACCAGGTTGTACACTACTGATTTGTACATTTTTCGGTAGGCATATTATATTCAAAATTAGTTGAAAAAGCTGTGTAAACATTTTCTGAATGGCTTATAAGAGACACCTGACACTACAGTTTTATCTTAACCCTCAGCCCTTGGTCCTTTCTAGTGTTTAGTAACATATTAGTTCTTAATCCCAGGAAGTTCTTTTTAAGAGTAGCTGCCAAATCCCCTTAGTAATCCAAATAATTTACCCTTTAACTTACTGATTTGGTAAACTTCTTTTCTCTTGAAAATGGAGTTGTTCACTGCTAACTTTAGTCTTCATACTTTCAAAATACATCATAAACAGACCTTATCTTATATATGAGATTTCAAGGACTGTTTTACTTTGCAGACAAAAAAAAAATCAACCATGATATTTTCCTATCCCATTTATATCAGGGCTAATAGTATCCTATATGTAACTCTTCAAACCTCTCTCTGTATGGGGCAGCACTCTGTATATTAGTATACAACTAAAATGAATTATGTGAATTTAATCTGTTAACTGAAAAGTATCCACTATAAAGCTTATATTAGACCAACCAGAACTAAAGATTCCACAGTATCTAAAACAATGTGTTTATGTCATTTCAGAGTCACTGACTATGGGAACCACTTTATTTTTTGCCATGCTGCATAGTTTGTGGGACCTTGGTTCCCTGATCAGGGATCAAACTCACGCACTTTGCAGTGAAAGTGTGGAGCCCTAAAGGCTGGACCACCAGGGAATTCCCTACGGAAGCCCATTTTAAGAGTGGTTAATTCAAAAGTCTTAAAAGAAGATAAAAGAAGGCACCTATCATTTTGTCCACCTAGAATGTCTATTTCCAACCACACGTTCTTGGAAAGGATGAAAATGAAAAGTGGAAGTGTTAGTAGCTAAGTCATGTCCAACTCTTTGCGACCCCATGGATTACAGCCTGCCAGGCTCCTCTGTCCATGGAATTCTCCAGGCAAGAATAATGGAGTTGTTCCCATTCCCTTCTCCAAGGAATCTTCCCGACCCAGGGATTGAACCTGGGTCTCCTGCACTGCAGGCAAATCTTTACCATACAAGCCACCAGGTAAGCCCTGCCACTCAAAATGCCCTACCTTCTGGCCAATAGTGTGGGCACACAAGGAAACAGCTTTGCTCTTCTCAAAATATTCAGGTTAGAGTAGCAGGAAGATGGACAGTCACTATAACTGTGGTCAGCTGCAAGAAGATGTTAGTCTGGTATATTCCTCACCATGTAGAAGGAGCTAGTTTGTAGGAAAATAAGGCAGGCATAATAAGAAATGCAGGGCAAAGCGGAAAACTCTCCAGTATTCACATTCGTTGTTCTAGTCATTCCTAAGACCCTACTACATCCCTGCTCCTCTTCTTATATTGTTGTGTAACAGCATGAAAGTGAAAGTGTTAGTCACTCAGTCATGTCCAACTCTCTGCAATCCCATGGACTGTAGCCTACCAGGCTCCTCTGTCCATGGGATCCTCCAAGCAAGAATACTGGAATGGATGGCCTATCCCCTTCTCCAGGGGATCTTCCTGACCCAGGGATTGAACTCAGGTCTTCTGCATTGAAGGCAGACTCTACCATCTGAGCCAACAGGGAAGCAGTTTACTTCACACAGACTTCCCTTTATGCTTCACTTTGTTTAAATTAGATGTATGTGCCCTGCACCGAGAGGTCCCTAATACAAAGACATACCTAAAGTAAAAAGATCTACAATTGCGAGAGCAAACTATATGACTGCCCCAGAGCAGGGTGGGATAATGAGCAGGATCAAATCATACAGGTGACACTGAAGGCACAATATTTTATTGAGAAAATGCCAAGATTAGAAGCTCGCTTAGATACTGAGAACAATATTCCGATGTACATTAACATAAACAAAGGCACACATCCTGTCATTTTCAAATTTTATTTCTTACAATTCACCTAGTTTAAGCACATCATCATGAGATTATGGCAATAATGACCTAGAAAGGTCATCTAAGTCCATGATACCAGCAATTCTTTTACAACAGAAAAAGATAACATGTAAAAGCTGAATTAATTTTCCTATATAACACAAGAACTGTTCACAGGATAAGGAACATCTTTCACTTTAAATTACTCATCTGAATGCAGACTCAGGCCAATAATAATTGAAAATGATGTGAGGAGAATTTCGACACTGTAATAACACAGACAATGTTTAAAGCATAAAAGAACAATTAAATTCAGGAATTATGGCTCAGTTCACAAAGTGACATTCTAAAATACCATACTATTAAGACCATAATAGTAAACCCTTTTTACAATTAATTTTATCTCTACCTGTATATGTAAACCCTTCTTGAATAAGTCTTGAGGTTCAGAACGAACTTTAACTAAACCCTAGAAACATGTAGAGGAAAGAAGGTTAAAGCATTCACAAATGCCTAATCTTGGAATCATATGTGCAAAAATGACACAACCACCTTACTTGGAAAGCACCAACAGCTAATAAGATTTTATTGGATAACAGTATTTTCTCGAGCTGGATTTTGGTGTTTTTATCTTGTTATCTAGAATGACTAGGCAAAATATGCTACAGTCATATATTAGTTTTGTCATTCATGGTATTTATTCCATGATGATTTAACACATTATAGAGTCAATCATAATATTAACCAACTAAAGACATACTAAAGGCTCTTCATACTATTTGTGGCACATTACTCTCACAACTATTATTACCATCAAAGGAACGGCAGTTTTAAAGTAAGAAAATGACAAGAGTAAGTAAGAAATGAAGATTTGCTGGGGACTGAGTTTACAATATGGAAAAGTGATTCTGTAACTCAAACCAATGGGAGAACTGACAGAACAAAGGCTATCACTATAGGTAAGAGCATAAAAGTGTTTTCAAAATATATTGATTTTGAGAAAAATAAGATTATATTCAACTTACAATTATACTTTAATAGGTCTTAAATTACCACAAATTAAGGTTGAGATTTTTAAATAACAACCATCTACATACAATGGGGAAAATAAAATCCAAGTAAAAACATGAAAGTCTGTAGAGGGAGATATAAATTAGGTGTGGAATCAGAGAACAGGAGACCATTTAGACAAAAATAATTCAATTAACATTTACTGAGATTTCCCCAGTGGCAGTGGCTCAATGGTAAAGAATCCGCCTGCCTATACAGAAGACGCAGGTTTGATCCCTGGGTCAGCAAGATCCCCTGGAGAAGGAAATGGTAAACCACTCCAGTATTCTTGCCAGGATAATCCCATGGATAGAGGGGCGTGGTAGACTGCAGTCCATGGGGTTGCAAAGAGTCAGACATGATTTAGGGACCAAACAACAACATTTACTGAATAACCTGTGTGTGTCAGACTACATACAAAGTAAAAAGAATGCAACAAGGCACAAATAAGGCAAAATAAGGTAAAAAAAAAAAAAAGCCTCACAATGTTTACATTCTAATGTCTATGGAGAACAGCCATTAACAAATAAACTGTACTTTTTAAAACAGGGAAAACTAGGCCCAAAGCAACAGAGTAGTATCCCTTTCCCAAGTACACAGCTGCTTAGCAGCACCTCAGGCCACAGTTCACATCACCTGGTCTATTCCAGAGACTTTCTGATATACTATAAAGTCAACAAGAGAAGAAAAGTGTTTAACAAAAAAAATCTTAGTAACAAGGAAAATCTATCATTATTCTGCTTAGTGGATTACAGAACTGACAACCAAAACAGAAGGAATTTAATTGAAATGTAGACTGAGCCGAATTTTAAAAAATACTTACGTTAAAGATGTACTTAATGAGCTAATAGGTACTTTATCTTCTCTAATATCTGAAATTCCCGGAATACTTTTGTTCAGAGGCCTATTTAATATGAACTAGTGGTTACAGCTGATATCCTAGCACAAAAAAACTCTCAATACCACCATCCAATTTGTATTTTTTACCAGACTCCAAAGAAAGGCTACCAACTGCATTAGCTAATAGGCTTAACTAGGCTTATTATCCCCAGTAGGTAAAGAAAATGGCTATTCGTGCTTATGAGTTTGCATACAAAAGGCAGCACTAAAGTAACATTCTACCAATATCCTGCTTGTCACAAGGAATGTAATACTAGCCATCTGTTTCACAAATTTCTAGGCTATTAAGTGGTTTAAGATTATAAGTAATTTTATGTTCAACTGAAAAATCTATGTTAGACTTCAAAGTTGAAAACAGAAATGGTAAAAGACAAAGGTGATACAGATCTGAAAATTCATTCCTTACCACATAACTATGAAAAAATTATTTCAACTCTACAATTGCCTGCTATCCTTTTTGTACTATAATATAATGATTTCTTAACTTTATTAAAACAATAGAGAAGATAAAAGTTAAGAGAAGAACTAGATACTCACACCACTGGAAAGGAACTGAGCATACTTTACATGAGGTGAATCAATATCCTTGCTAGAGATGATCAGCGTTATTTATCATTCTGCAGAAAAAAAGACAGAAAATTCAGAAACACCTTTAAATACTGAATAAAAATTTTAATTATATAATTTAAGGATTAACAGTTAACATCAGATAATCAGGTTTTTTAAAAAATACTTTTTATTTTTCAAATAAAACATTTGTTTGAAGGAACATTTTAAAAACAGAAAAATACTTTTTAAAGCTTTCAAATTACTCACTTGGAAAAATGAAAATCATCCCTGAAGTTTATCTTTATCTGTTACCAGATACCACCCAAGATTTAAACATGAAATGGAATATATATATACACACAATATTGTGACATTCAGAATAACTTGTTGACAATAACTCCAGTGCACTTACGTAGAATCCTATAAACAAAAAACATACCACAGCATGATTGAAGCTAATAGTCTTAACTGGGGGTAAAACCTGGGGTGTAGTTCCAAGCTTATTATTTATTTTGTTGCTGTTTAGTCGCTAAGTCACATCCTTCTCTTTGTGACCCCACGACTGTAGCCCGCCAGGCTCCTCTACCCGTGTGACGTCCCAGGCAAGAATACTGGAGTGGGCTGTCATTTCCTTCTCGAGGCGATCTTCCTGACCCAGGGATCAAACCGACGTCTCCTGCATTGGTGCTGCGATTTACCATTGAGCTGCCAGGGAAGCCCATTATTTATTTTACTGCTAGCCAAATCTTACAGTGACTTAATTTCTTTGAGTCTCAATTCACATCATAAAACAGAGGTAATAGGTAACTACTTCAAAAAGCTACAAGAACTTAAAACATTTTAAAAATGGTGATGATGAAGTACTTCACAAACTATCAAGTAGCAGGGGCTTTTACTACCAACTTTAAAAAGACACCAATAACAATGTCCATTCTTGAACAGGCTTCAGTTAATAATGGAGCAAGTTCAGTACTTCTATCTTCTGATTTGCATTCTACTGCTTTATTCAGCATTCAGACGCTGTGACCCCGTTCAATTCAGACATAGATCTTAACAAAAAATGAAATCTACTATTCACAGTTTAGGAGCTAAAGATCATGTATTACTGATTGCACTTATTAGCAGTTTCAAACCACAATATATACAGGGAACTATTTCCATTAACTCCAAGTTAATACTAAAAATTAGATGAAAGCCAAAAATGTTGATGTCAAAAACTATCACATTAAAATACACATTCAGAACTGAATTATATTAAGCAAGATCAAAGTGTCTAACAGTGACTAATGATATATGTGAAATGTACACAGTAAAGTTAGAAACCTTTCCCATTTGCGTATTCTAAACTGTAGCTTTAATGAAGTTCCTCCTGTAGTTAATCTTCTTGCTGACGTGAGAAATACTGGTCCTACATGGCAGATATAAAACACAAGAAAACCTCCTAAAAATACTGTTGATTGCATTTCCTAGACAAAACACCAACAAGCAGCCACAACACTGATTACTGGTCAATATATATATATATATATATATATTTTCACTCCTGCTCAAATTTAGTTAAAATATACTAAATACTAGCCCTGAAATAGAAACAAGGTCATAATGTGAGTAAGATATGGTCCCAGCAGTGTAAGAGATTATTAAACTATGCCGGGGGGGGGGGGGGGGAGTAAAATAAAAATTTCATACACACACATCTCCATAAAAGGCATTAAGTAATAAGACTAACAATACAAGATTTATGAGCACAGAAATTCAGAAATTAATTGGTTACAGAAAACTGGGAAGACTTTAAGTGAGATCTCAGCTGTTATTTGAAGTTTAGAATAAGACTTCCACCAAATCAAAGTGTGAAGGGAGGTGAGAATCAGTGGAAGAAAAAATCAGGAAGAGGAAACAGTTTAAAAAAGATTATGAAGGATGTTTAGGGACTAAGTAGACCTGTCTTGTTGGCCTTTAACATGTATGTATGAGGAACAGACAGGTAGAAAGGGAGGAATTCCACAGTCTATGGAGGGCTCATAAATGCCTTACAGTATTTCTGATCTTAATTCTATAAATATGAGAATACCACCACAATTGAATCAGACAACCTAGGGGATAAATCACCAAACACCTTCATTTCACAAATGAGGAAACAGATTAAGACACAGATACAGACCTGTATAAGTGCAACTCACTGAATTTATGTCATTTATATTCCAGACATAAATGGACTTGAAGTAATACATAAAAATAAAGCATTCAAAGGACAGAAGATCAAGCAAGTTGCTGTGAGCTCTCTGCTCCCAGGTTCAATAACATAGAGCGTTCCTGGTATAAGAGACAGATTTTTTAAATTGACAGATTAAAACTGTGTATTAAAATCACATCGTTAGAATGGCTATAATTTTTAAAAAGACAGAAAATAACAAGTATTGGCACAGATGTGGATAAAATAAAACCTTTGTGTGCTCTGATGAAAAATGTAAAATGGGGGTACTGCTATGTAAAATAGTATGGTGGTTTCTTAAAAAATTTAAACATAGAATTATCAGAAGATTTGCAACTTCAATTCCAAGTATATATGCAGAAGTGAAAGCAGGGACTCAAAAATATATTTGGACACCCAAGTTCATAGCAGCATAGTCACAAAAGCAAAAAGGTGGAAACAAATATCTATCAACGAATGAATGGCTAAGCAAAATGTGATACATGCATATAAAAGAATATTATTCTGCCTTAAAAAAGAAGGAAATCCTGACATGCTAACATCGATGAACCCCAAAGGCATTATACTAAGTGAAAGAAGCCAGCCACAAAAGGTCAAACACTGTCTAATTCCACTTTTACAAGATATTTAGTCTTCAAACTCAGAGGCAGAAAGTAGAATGGTTCTTAAGGGGGGCTGGGTAAGGAAGAGTTACTGTTTAATGGTGCAAAGTTTTAGTTTGGGAAGATGAGAAAAAGTTCTGGAAGATGGATGACAGTGATGGTTGTACAACAATGTTTATTGTAGTTAGTGTCATGAACTGTTTGCTTTAAAATCGTTAAAATGGTAAATTTTATATTATGTATGCTTTATTACTGAAAAAAAGAGAGTGTTATACTAAAAGAAAACACATATTAAAAGGTATCAGGGATAAAAGTTTACGGATGCTGGATCATATTTAAGCACCTAGCTATAAAAAGTAAGCTATAAAAGATAAAAAGAAATCACCTACTTATTGGACTTCTCATCTACGATACTTAAAAGAGAAAGAGCTGAATAACATTCACAGATGACTGAGAGAATTCTGTACCAACAAAGCTTACATTTTTATATAAGAAAAACACTGCAAATATGCAAGAATTCAGAGAGTGTATTTTCTCAGTTACCTCAACTGAGACACATAATATAAAAAACTAACAAAAATGTGCAAAAACATTTTTACTTATAAACTACAAGATGAACTGGATAATCTTTGGATCAAAGAAATCAAAATCTTTATTTTATTTGAAATGATTTTAGTGTTCTGCTACATAGGACACACAATAAATATATATTATATATGTGTGTGTGTTTTTCCACATAGAGAAATCTGATCTGTGAAAGAGATCCAGTAATGGTGGTTAGTACAAGTACAGGGTGAGAACTGGACAGATTCAGAAAAGGGTGGGAAGGGGACTGTTCTCACACATCTGTATCATTTTAACCATATGAATGTTATTGCTCAGTTAAGAAATCAAATTAATAAAAATAGGAATTAAGAGCAGGAGCCCACTGAACCCTTTGTAATTCAACACTAACTTGAAGATTATAGCAAACTAATAAGACATAAGAATGAATTAACTGGAATAAATACTGGAATGAAAGAGAAATATATACCTTTTTGCTAATGATCTAAATGAATACCTAAAAAATGTAAGCTAATCTAGTAAAAAAAAAGTTGAAGTTTTTTGTTAAGAAGTATGACACAACACTTTAAATTAATTTAAAAAATTTCCCCTAGTTTAGCAGGAGACATCTAGAAACACAGGAAAAAAAAATACATCAATCATACTAGTAACATTTTTCTAACACTTATAAATAGCTGTATTGAGAAAAAGCCTCCCCCTACAATTAAAGTTTAAAAATAGGGACTTAAAATTAGAAAAAAAAGAAGGCCAAGAACCTCCAAGAAAATGAAACAAAAGGAGAAGACCAGAAGTGGACTTCACTGGCCAGACAACAGAACACACACAAAAGACACTACACAAACCAACACAACACTGGCGTGGGAATAGACACACAGCTGAGTAAAGAGAAAAAGAACTCAGTGATTCCAGAACATGCAAGAAAACACACAAGCCAAAGGCTAAATTTTATTTCAACAAGCTACGATAACTTATCATCGGGCAAAAAACTAGATCTTTATCTTAAATTATATATAAAATTTAAATTCCAGGTGCAATAAACATAAATCTATAAAACTCAGAGACACATTCTACAACAAAATTTAAGAAGATGATATGTCTTTTAAGTATTCTTAACAAAGAGGAGAAACTTTAAAAGGTAGACATAAGAGTTTAAAATTTCCTACTACAAAAAAACCATAAAGAATTTTTAAAAAGATGTCCTTATCATCACAGGGGACTGGAATGCAAAACTAAGAAGTACAGAGATACCTGAAGTAACAGGTAGGTTTGGCCTTGGAGTACAGAATGAAGCAGGCAAAGGCTAAGAGAACACATTGGTCATAGCAAACACCCTCTTCCCACAACACAAGAGAAGACTCTACACATGGACATCACCAGATGGTCAAAACTGGAATCAGACTGATTATGTCCTTTGCAGCCGAAGATGGAGCAGCTCTATACAGTCAGCAAAAACAAGACTGGGAGCTGACGGTGACTCAGATCATGAACTCCTTATTGCCAAAAGCAGACTTAAACTGAAGAAAGTATGGAAAACTACTAGACCATTCAAGTATGACATAAATCAAATCCCTTATGATTATACAGGGGAAGTAATGAATAAATTCAAGGGGTTAGATCTGGTAGACAAGAGTGCCTGAAGAACTATGGAGGGAGGTTTGAAACACTGTACAGGAGGCAATAATTAAAACCA